CATCTAAGTAATTATATCAGTTTCCATTAAAGTCAATGACAAATAACCATTAGATGCCCCTTAATTGAACAATTTATAACTTTCATCCTCCTATTAATAATGTTTGAAAACTTTGTACCTTAATTGATAATATCTTAATTAAAAAAAAAAAATTGTATGTTAAATTTTTATCTAACAAGTCATTAAATTACAAAAGAATTTAGTATTGGCGGTAGTTTGTGTTAAATGGTAAGAATAACCTGAATAAGCAATGCTACAGTTATCGAAGAATGTACATCGAATTCATACACCGAATAACGTAGTACCATCCTGTTTTCTTAAAAAAAGAAATTCATAATTAATCAACGGTCAAGATAGCGTCACGTCAGTCGGTGCGTATTCTTCGGTAACTGTATTATTTTTCAACATGAATTTATTGAATTTGCATACATCTTGCCCCAAGGTTGAATCATGTATATGCTCATATGGGCTCTGACCCTGGTTAAAGAAAAAAAAAAAAAAAAAAAAGGTGGTTGCGTTGATATTGCATTTGTACGAGGTTTTTTTTTTTTTTTTTTAGTAAACCTTGTGTGTTTGGCCTTTTTATAATGTGCATTCGCTAGTTTCGAAAATGCAATCATAATCCCTATATGTTTGACCTTTTTATAATAAGCATCTACTGGTTTTGAAAATGCAATCCTAACCCTGTGTGTTTAACCTTTTTTGTAATGAGCATTCACTGATTTTGGAAATGTTATTAATTCAACCTTCAAATTTATCGACAATTTCATCAATTTAACATCTAAAAAATGTATTAACCTCTTAACATTGTTGACAAATTTTGAATAGTTGATTAATTGAATTTGGGTGAATAGTAAAAACAACATTTCCTTCACATTTAAACAAAATAACCTAACAATAATGCTAGACGTACAGACAAATTTTACAAAGATTTTTATACAAACTGATGTGATAGAAAATGAAGAAGTTAGTAAATACAAAAAGTCAAATTCATTATATTCACCCTTCCATTCATTTTCAGATACATCAATTAGTATATAAATCTTTGTAAGATTTGTTTATACATTTAGTATTACTCATAATCTAATTATCAGTCAAAATGGGGTTTAAGGTCGCACTTCTAAAACCAAATGATACTCACTACAAAAAAGGCCAAGCACAAGAGAGTTTACTATAATAAAAAATAAAAGCTTTTAAAGATATTTTTATAATTATAAATTTATCTTTAAAGTTAATTAACTAAACTTAACCCTAATTACTTGATAGTTTTCAATAAGAGTAATACTATACATACAATATTTCTCATACAACATTATGTGGCAAACTATGATTGGCTAATTTAAAGTTAAAATTAAACTTTCACCAAATCATATCTTGCCACATAATATTGTATAAGAAATATTGTATGGGAATTATGTATGTGTAGTATTATTCTTTTAATAATAATGGATGTTTTTCATATTAAGCGGTCTCACATTGTAAATAAAATAAACTCTAAAAATAAAATTACTAAATGATAGGAATGAATCATGAATTAACTATTATAATAGAAAAAGGAACTTAAAAAAGTGGGAAAAAAGAAACTAAAAGAAATTTAAAGACATCTTCTAGAAGATAATACTTCCATTTCATTCGAATGTGGTAGCTATATATAATACATTTTTTTCTTTTTTTTTCTTTTTGGTAATCAGGGTATTTGGACTAACTTGCGCACACTCAATTAATCCCTATGGCTCATATTGGAGACAATGAATAAGACTTTTATTTACGGATAATATTTCATATACAAACTCTCACGTACAAACTAAAGTGTTTTAAGTTGATTGGATAATTTTAAATTTAAAAATAAGTTAAAATAACATATAAGCATACAAGATTGTCACATCAATTTGTACAAATAGTTTGTATTTACTTGGTGTTTGGATCAGCTTACACGCATCTTAACTAATCCTTAGTAGAAACTACCCCACAGCAACTAATAATCATGGCCTCCAAATAAATCATAGACAAAGGTATTACCTTTGCGTCTAACAGGAGAATCGAATATGAGACTGTGGGTTAAACCATTTGCAACCCTCTTGGTTCGCCCTTACAAGTGGGCTACCCATGGGTGGGTCACTTCTCTTTATTTACCATTGAATATCATAGAAACTAAAAAAAAAAAAAAAAAGGAGTAAATAGGTTAATTTTTTAAGAAAATAAATAAATAATCAAAATATTGCATCTTATTTGTTATGCTCTTTAACTATTTTGTTCGTAAAATAACTCAAATATCCTTTAATTAATTTGTCAAACGATTTTTAAGACTAAACTCAAATACAACCCATCATGAAAAGTGTTTTTAACACGCCGATAGTTATTAACCTAGTCAATGTAACTAAACCCAAAACTACTTTTTTCGACGTGATATCTTGTTTAGCATTGTCGTATCATTTATCAAATCACCTCTTCGTTTATATTTTAACACCCTATAAGATTACACATCATTTGAAATGAGAATTTCGCAAGATAATTAAAAGATCTACTTTTATATGCTCTTAAACAAGTTATAAGTCGTACCAAGTTTTAACTTTAAGGGATGTAATTGTCACTGTTGTTAAACACTTTTTGTCAAACTTTAAGGGATGTATATCCTTATAATATGGGGATCCAATGAATACTTTCCCAAACCTGAGGGGTGTAGTTGTATCCACAAGCTCATCAAGTAAAATAGAGGCGGAGAATGTTGCAGAAAGTTCAGAAATACCAGGCGGAGAGCTGGATGAGCCTGACCTTTTTGACGGAGGAATGGGAAAATCCATTTTATTTCAATCCATCTAATCTCTCAATAGAGGAAGATACCGACACGGACATGCTGAGGGAAAGAAAATTAGTCAGAAAAGGACCTCAAATCTACCCAAATCGTTAGATAAACATTACATCTAACCTTACCCTTTACATGGGTGCTTACTGCACAATCATTTGAACAACTTTTCACAAAATCTCAAGTTTGCACATCTCATTCTAATAATTTTACGTTCTGCATGGATCCAATGGTTGTAAATACCCATTGAAAATGGAGAATCTAAAAGTTATTTAATGTAATAGTATGTAAAAATATTCCGACTAAAGTATTCATTGAGAGCGTTGCAAAAATCTTGAGAAAACTTTAATCTAGATAAGCCAGCTGACATGTTTGACAAAGGATATGGGAGAATCATTTTAAGTACATTTCTCAATGGAAGAGATATAAGGTAACATGGAGGTGCAGAGGGGAGGGACAAAATGTTAGGAAAAAAGAGAAAAAAATGGGTTACAAATTGTCAAATGTTACTGAAAGAAAACATCAAAGTGCCATGAGTGGAAGCCTGAGTGTACATCGTTGACAAAGAAGGTACTAATTACCTTAAACAAAATTATTATTATCACCCACTTGCCATTAAGGCTAACTGGAGTACTGGACGTAAGAGCATGTTGCGATGTTTTTCCTAATCACTTTTTGACTTAGAAGGCAGATTGTTGTTGATCATGGAGCTTTTTTTACATATTTAGAGAAAAGGAGAAAAGCATAATCTCAAACTCATTGACTGGAATCGGAATTTACTCGTTTCTTATATGCCTTTTGTATCATTGCTCAAGTTTGATTCTGTTTTGGTAATTGGATTTGAGCACTAGTGTTTAAAGTATTTTTCATCTTTTAATCTCCTCCTCCTGGCCTAAATGGAATTCATTATGGCTAAGATTTGATACTTCCCACCACCATATTCGTAGTCTTCATTTTAGTGAGTATTATGTAAAAGAGTGTACTATGATAGAATCCTGCTGATGATAGAACAAACCAATGAAATCATATACCTCAATGACAATGAACAAAATAAATCGCACCACACTTTGGCAAACTTTTACAAGTGAAACCATTCCAAACCCCTGTCACCCATTTTCTGTTTAGAGACAGATGGAGTAATTTTTCATCTCTTGATATTCAAATGAAAATAAATACAGACCCACTGACATACACAAAAACAGAAAAGATTTAGAAAGAATTTGATCTTTTCGTACTATCATATGCAAACGGTGGTGCTTACTTTAAGATACTGCATCATTTGCTTCACCTAATCCATCTCTGTGTAACCATGGCAGGCTCTTGAGTTGGTCTGCCCGCAGAAGAACCAAGTGAAGAATTTTACAGAAACTAAGCTCTTCCAGGTCTGCTCGACCTCTTTCTATTCCCAGGTTTGTGACTTCTTCCTATTGATGAAATTTGATCATCTCACAGACACAATTGATCTTGAGAAGCCATGTTACCTGGGCTCTGGATATAGTGGAATTGTCGAAAACAGGAAGCCGTTGAAAAGAAGTATCCATCGAAACAAAGGAAATTACTAGTCACTGTTTCTACTCTATCCTTCACTTCTAGTACATCTAATTGAACTGGAATAATGAATTTGTGCAAACAATCTTCTTTACAAACATGAAGGGCCAGCTTATAAGCTCCGAAACACTGATCATTGAAGCTCCAAGAGTGACAAAAATAAATCTCACAGAACTCCCAGGAAACATTCACATCAGGAACAGTCATGTGAAGAGTAGATTTTGTAAGAATGAAAAGCTCATTTATTAAAAAAAAAAAAAGAGAACCCAATCTAAATAGAATCTTCACGTTTTGTCTGATAACAGTTGCCTATACATGTCACATATTCTTATTACGAACAGTGGGTCATGTACAGACATGTCACAGAATTCCATTTGGTAAAGAAGGATGAGGAGGAATCAGCAGAGCATTATATGGCCTTGTACCAAACAATTTTGGGAAAGAACCTTGAAACCAGTACACTATCAAATCAGCTAATTCCGCAAAGGACAACGCAAAAGAGAACCTAGTCGAATCCTAGGGCAAAAACATTTATGCATATATTCACTAATAATCTATATGCCCTTGCTATTTCTGGTAAGAAGAAGAGAAAATAACACAGCACATGAAGGAAATTTCAAGACACTAACAAGAGTATGGTAGAGACAAATAAACACTGAAAATTCTTGTTATTTGAATAATTGAAGAAGCATGCCACTCAAAGAAAAGGCAACAAATTTAGGGTGCTTTTTATCCAACCAACCATCAAGAATACATAGGCATGTGTGATTACACAACAAATGCAGAAAAATTAACAACATGAAACCAAAGAAACACCTTATGGAGCTCCAAATTTAGTACAATCGCAGTACGCTCCTTGCAATTGAATGTGCATGATTTGACCTACTTTTGCCTGATCCACCTCTCCGACTGCTCCTCATCGGGGTCAAGTAGAACCTTAACAGTCCATTATCAAGGTTGTTTGGTGAATACCTTGCACTCCTGTTCCTCTCCAACACAAACTCATCTTTTTTCTTTCTACCATGTCCATTAGCCTCAACTCCGTTCTTCCTCAAACCACCAAATGATCCACCAAAATTACTCGAATTCCTCCAACTAACACTGCTATTACTCCTCAACATCTTTGGATTAAATGCCCCTTTAACTTCTCCATTCCTTTCTCCTCTCAAATCTTGCCAAGATTCCGAAAATGACCTCTCAACCCCATTTGCTCTACTATACCTATCTTCATCCTCATCTTTGTTAACACCTCTCCTATGTATAAAACCCCATATATTCCATGCTTTACTCCATCTCTTGGACTTCTTATTCCCCTTCCTTTCACCATTCCCCACTACAGACGCATTGTCTCTAAAATTCATCTCAAAAGTCTCACTACAATCATCCCTTAAAGAATTCGAGTTTGAATCCCTCAAATCCTTATCTCCAAAAACCAACTTCGGCCCCTGAAAACAATCCACAGTCGCAGGAGACACTTTCGCATTAGAAACTGACTTCATTTCATCAATCTCAGCCACCACAGCAGCTGCTGTCTTCCTGATCGAACTAGACCTATCGAGACTCTTCCTTCGCCTAGAAGACGAATCCGAATAATAGTCCCTAGTCTGAGCAGACCCACCAGGAACAATCTCATCCTCATTAATAGCATTCATAGTTGGTTCTTCAACTGGGATTTGAGTATCAGACCTTGAAACATGAACTACAGGAGCATCCTCCACAACAGAAACCATAGTGGGCATTCTTGGAAAAGTCCTTCCAATCAAATAACCATCCCAAGAAGCCCGTGGCTCATCAAACGAGTACCGTGGATCATCAAAAGATATCCGACCCGCATCCAGCGAGAACCTCGGATCCGTGTCGCAAGACCTTCTCCCAAACCCGTAATCAGCAATCTCCGACTGAGTCTCTCTGTATTGTCGGGAAATTGGCTTCTCTACAGGCAATCTGGCTGAACCACTTCCATTTCTACGTTTCTTCAGCTTCTGCTTTTGTCTCCACTTTTGTAATTTCTTACTAAACACTGAAGCAGCTGACCAGAAACTCCCAGCAAAGTCTTTAAAATCTCTCCCTGAACCCTTCTTCGTTTGTGAATCAAGATCTATGTGGTCCTTCATCGGCTTTAAGTTTAAGTGTAACTCCTCTTCTTGAACTTCCTCTATCTTGTCTTCTTCTTCTTCGATAATTTCTTCAATTTTCTCTTCAATTACAACATTTGAAGATGACGTTCCTACATCAGGCTCATCTACAACCCTAATGTAGTCGTCATCACCATCATTGTCTTCTTCACTTTCAGTTTTGTCTTCTTCTTTGGACTCAAACACTGGTCCTTGAAAGCTGGGCCTAGCCGAAGACCCTAAATTTCTGCTCTCACTCGTCGTCTCACTCTGTTGTTGTTGTTGTTGCTGCTGTTGTTCTCTCTTGTAAGGGTTTCTCTCGTCGTCTTGCGTAAACAACGACCAGAGCGTGTTTCTAACCCTAACGTCACAAGATTTTCTCTGGGGCTCAAAGACGCCACTAAAGCCCTCGTTTTTGGAAGCAGAAAACGACTTGGTCCGACGAAGCTCCGGGAAAAACGGCGGTCTCGAGGAACCACCCCCACCGCCGCCGACGGAGGGCTTGAAAATGGACTTAAGAGCGGCCGCGGTTGAGGAAGTGAGGGGAGGTTTTCGCGATGAAGAAGACGCAGAAGAAGAGTGATCTAAAACGGCGAGACGCTCGCATAAACATGAGGGGCAAAAGCCAGTGAAATGCTCGTCGGGGTGACGGTCACAAGAGGTGGAAGGACGGTGGGGCTGCGGTGGTTGTGGTGGCTCGGTTGCTGGATTCATAACCGGTGTCGTTTTGTAATGCTCACTCTTGCTCTGCTCATAATGTGTTATTTACTACCCACACTTTAGTGAGAGAGAGAGAAAAGAGACCGAGTGTGTGTTTGTGTAAACCAACTGTTTGGTTCCAACGGACACAGGAAGGAGAGAAAATGATGAAAGATTGGGGAAAATTAAAAAAGAAAAAGAAAGATCTACGCGTAGAATTTTTCAGAATGCCCCACACTACTAAACTCGACTCCTTTTTTCTCTTTTCTTCGGCTTTGCCTTTGCCCTTTGCCTTTGCATTTCTAGGGGCACTCGCTTCTGAAATTACTGTTTTATCCCTGTCTCTAAGGGACTGTTTGGCCACTCCATTAAACTGCTTCCTTGCTACCTATAATTATAATAAATATGGTAAATATTTATGAGTTAAGGTTTATTTTTTGTTGAACTGTATAGTAAAATGTTGGATGGTTTTTGATTTTCAAAGATTCCTGTCGAGAGAAAAGCAAAGCAAACCACGCCATCACTAGATAGATAGAGACTCTCCTTTCTTTTCTCACATTTCGCTTTCTTTCTTGTTTGCTTTTTTTTTTTTTTTTTTTTTTTGCCCTCTTTTCCTTTTTCCTGTTCTGGTTTCTTTTTGTTTTTCATTCCTCTTTTCTTTTTTTTCATATTCGTTTTTATTGGGTTCTATTTTGTATATTTATAGTATATCATGTCTCAGCAGTGGGTTAGTAGTACAGAGGACAGGTGCACCCCACATCATCCCCTACTTTGTCCTTGTCAAAACGGTGTCGTTTTTTTACTTTTTTTTTTTGCGACCCTGAAGTTTAGTCTAAGTGACACTTTAGTCTTATACAACTATAGAAGCTTTTGGTAACTCTTTAGTTACTTGTTAGTAACACAACATTTTGATGACGACTCTATGAGAGGACCAATGTGTTACTAAAAAATTGTATAAGACTAGAGGATACTTAACCCAAAGCTTAAGTGTGGGGGATGTCAAATTTAAAATGACTTGCAATTTTGGCTTTTTTTTTTTTTTTTTTGGCTCTCTCTTTGTTCTTTGCATCAAACATCTTTTTCCCTATTTTGTTGACGCAAAAATGGGAGTTTGAGAGGCTTTCACTTTAAAAATGGGGTGCCTTTTTTCATATTTTTGGTAAAAGGGTAACATTAATTATTATTATTAATGTGTCTGGTTACCAAAAAAAAAAATAAATAAATTCATTTCTCTTATTTATGTTGAATCACTTCTCACCCTCTTCATAAAAAAAGCCATTTTCTTCTCCATCTTCTTCTTCAAAAGGGAAACTTTGCTTTGCCCAACACACCCCCTCTCCTCACACTTCACATTTCCATTTTTATCTTCTTTCATTTTTTTTTTAATTATCAAGGATGTCGTGTCAACTTACATACATCTCAACTAATCTTTCAAATCTTAAAATTACCGTTCGAGTAAAAACTCCAATGACCACCCTTATTAGCAGTCAAGATGAATCAAACTTATGACATTTTAAGTAATATACCCAAGAATTCTAATTAACCATTCAACTATCCAATTTGCCCAAAACACAAAGCCTCAAGACTCTACACGGCTTCTTTGATTTGGGTTACCAAAGAGACCTTTTGATGTAAAAATATAATCATTCTTAAAATTTGAAAAAAAAAAAAAAATCAATGTGTTTTAACTTAATTGAATTAGGAAATGTAAAGGATTATATAAGGCCATACATTTTTTAATATAGATGTAATAATGCGACCCGATATTTAAGGTCACATGTAATGAGAATCTTATTGCCATACAAAACATATTTTACACACGTTGATAATTTGAATTTTATTTTGATCATATAATATATAATTTATACATATTTATGGGTTTAAGCATATGATTAAGAGCTTAGCATAAATAAATTAAAAAGAAGCATTGAGGATAAAGATTCCCTTTCTTCTTTCTTAGCTAGCCATGCCGTGCTATGCACATCAAAGTTTAAAGTTAACATTTCGGTCCAAATTGAAAAGAAAATTATGTGTTTTTATGTTGTCTCTTGTTTCTTACTCAAATTAAAAATAATAATAATAATAATAATAATAACAATTAAAAAAAAGAAAGTGGGGTAAAAGTGTAAGAAAAGAAACAATAACGCGGTCCAAATTTCTAAGTCAGCTTTATTAGTTTTGGGCTGTCGTGCTATTTGTTGGAAAGCTATTTAAGCTATTAAAAATACTTGGTAAATAACATAATACCCCCAATTCTTTATTGAATTACAAATAACCCATCAAAAAGTTTTCAGTGATAAAATAAACGATAGATAAGTAATCAAAGTTAATATTTTCTAATTGAGTAAAGAGGAAAATTTGTTAACGTTTTCTTAGCTCGTATTAGAGTAAATTCTATTAGTATACTATCGCGAGGGAATTTTTATAGTCCTATTTATTTGGATTAATATAAATATAACATAACATTTTTCATATAAAATTTTATTAAATTTATTTTGTAAAACAAGCATGATCCATGATACTAAATACATACATATATAGTGGTGTTTAAAAGCAATTAACCGAACCGGTTAACCACTTTTTTTAACCGAGCCGATTTTTCAGTTTGAAATTTTTTTCGAACCGAAACCGAACTAGTTTAGAAGGAAAACCGGTTAACCGCTTTAAAAAAAAGTGGTTAACCATTTTTGAATCGATTTTTCCTTTTTTTTATAAATTTTTTTTTTAATTTTTTCCTAAATTAAATTGTAAATATAAACAATACGTATCCAAATAAAAATTAAACATTCATACATATCTATTGATTACTACTAACAATACATTAAAAATATTAATATTATTTTATTTAATATATAATATATTATTTTTATTTAATATATATATATATATTTGTAAAACCGGTTTCAGTCAACCGCTTTTTATTTTTTCTCGAACCGAAAATCCAGTTTTTTGAATTTTTCAAATCATAACTGAACCATTTTCTCGGTTAACCGGTTTTTCGGTTCGATTCGATTTTTGCATTTCTTTTAACACCCATATATATATATATATATAAACCGCTTTTTATTTTTTCTCGAACCGAAAATCCAGTTTTTTGAATTTTTCAAATCATAACTGAACCATTTTCTCGGTTAACCGGTTTTTCGGTTCGATTCGATTTTTGCATTTCTTTTAACACCCATATATATATATATATATATATATTGTTACACAATCTATAGAATAGTAGAGTAAATTACTTCAATAATGGAGATAGTTATATTTTATAATAACACAAAATACGTTGAATCAGAACTATTAAAACAAAAAGAAATACCTTGATATAATTAGTCAAAAATTATATCATAATATTCTGTTTTCTTAATAAAACTAATTTTAAAAATAAGAAAATGATGCAAAAAAAATTAAATAATATAACAATAGATAAGCACGATTAGTAGACATGGTGTCGCGGTATAGCCATAACCCACAAAAAAAAATAAAAAAAATTAGAATATCATCTCAAAAAGTTTCATTTTCTGCATATGACTACGTCCTATAATATGAAGTATTTCTAATTTTTTTTTTTTTTAATTTGCTTTAAACAATTCATATTAGAATAGGAATATGCTTATTCTTGAGAATTATTTAGATACCATTTTATAAGAAAAATAAAATAATATTATTTCATTTTTAAGGTATCAACCGTCCATTTCTAACTCTACGGAGGGGTATTTTTTTCGGACGTGTACACCGCTTTAAAATAATAACTGGTAACAGGATTCTCTTGCTGAGCGTCTCTACTCTACGTACGCATACGCATTACGTTTCAAAAATACATACACATCGGCCCAGCGCGTGTACTGCACGTCCCCTTTTTTGGAACACAAGACAAACAGCAAGCAGGCAACATGTGGGACCGTGTCCCACAGTAATCCATGGCGGTGATGGTGATAGCCACATCAGACTGAACGCTGTAGCTGTACTCCGCTATACACGTGTGGCAGATCCCAGTATGGGTTGCAGCTACCTATCGCACGTGTCATTACCTATTCAGCTACTTGTTCGCACGTATTTCGAATTTCATGAATAGGGTTTTAATATTAGATTGAAATAAATTACTTAAACTAATTAATATATGCATTTATTATTCCTTGAGCATATTTCATGGTTTCATTTATAAATTCACATCATGCAACCCATAATAAATGGTATTGAATAAAAGCAAGAGTGCATTCAGATTTTAAAAAAACCTAAGTTAAGTTTTTTTTTTTTTTTTTTTTTTTTAAGCTAGCTCAGTATTCAGTTCACATTAGAGTTTGCTTCTCCTTAAGGTCACGAAATACGCTACAGTTAATGAACCAGTGGTAAGTATATTTTTTGCGACTCGAATACAAAATCTTCTAGATATACTACCCTAATAACTAAAAGATTGTATTCGATCACAAAAAGAAGATAGTTATAAGAGTTTTTGATGGGGGAGATATTGTTAAGAGTAATTAATGGTAATAAATATAAAAAGGGTGATTGATTTAAGGAAGATGATGAGACAGAGACACCGCCGCTAAGTCACAAGCTAAAAAGGTTTATATTATATAGAATTAAGCTTAAGTTGTTTATTTAATTTTGAAAAAGGGTCCACCCTCCACCTCCACCCACCACCACCACCACCTGCTTTCGGTTAAACATCACGGGACCCCACAACAACCCCATAATCACATGGGCTATCATTTACTAGTATCATATGATAGAGAACACAAACATAAAAAAAAAAAAAAAAATAAAAAAAAAAAAAAGAATTTTATAAATATTGTTTCATTGGTTTGGTAATTTGTATTATACATGTGTGCATGGAATGGAATGGAATGAATCGTAAAAATCATCTTCTGTCTTCTACCTCATACCTTTTATTATTTTGTTTTATATATTCAAAAGATTTTTATTTAAAAGGGGTTTAGGGTTTTGTCTTTCTTTCATTCTTTCTCACTCTAGCTAGGGTTTGTCTTTCTAGGGGTTTTTATTTATTTTTCTGGGTTGATGGCTGGATTCGCAACATAATTCCCATATCCAAAGTGGATATGTTTATATAAATGGGTAAATAAATTAGTGGGAGAGAGAAAAAAGATTTGAGACAAAAATTCTGCTTCTGTTGGATTGTGGCAATGTGGCCCCATATGCATATATTTTGCTCCTATATATCATCCCATCAACCAATTCCAAATCTTTGTTTCCACTAACTTGCTATGTTATGATATGAAAGAAACATTCAGCTATTGTTTTCAATCCACTTTTTATCAAATATTGTGAATGTTTTCTTGTTTTTAATCAATTTCATACTGTGATAGTCCAACTTAGTCCCCACCCACCTATCTCTATATACATATATATATTTATTTATTTATTTATTTATTTTCAATGTCTCTCTCCAATCAATCATTCATTATACAGTATATTTCAGGCTTCTAATGAAATGAAACATGCTTTTTTGTTAATTATATTAATCGTGTGATTAGTAGTCATTGATCAATCAGATTATATAGAATATTTTGGTGGCAGATTGTCTGGTTAATTAATCACTGGATTAATTTTAAAGCTTTCAAAAGCTGAAACAAACAGAATATTTTGTCACCTAATCCCATTAAAAGCGGAACCCTTATACTATATATACTTCTATTCTGCTATTGATTTTGATTTTGATGCAATATTTTTATATATATAATAGGGTTTTGACAAGCTGATTTGTCTTCTTAATAACTTATTATAAATTCCTCACACTTGTTCTTCTTCATAATTATTTGAAGAACAATAAAGTATCGTTTTGGAAGCATATATATATAAGTAATACATAGAAGACAAATATGAAACAAATTATATACTGCAGAATTTAGCAGCTATGCATGCATGCATGATTCAGAATTGCCATTAGTTCTCATTAGATGAATAGTCCAATCCAACAAACTCTTTTTAATTTATTTCTTTTAATAACTTGAAAAAAATTAAATGTTTTTAAGTGAAATAAAGTTAAGAATTATGATAAAATAATGTGTCATTATAATCTAATGAAAAAACTGCAGCCATTGGAGGGTTCATAGATATGAAAATGAAGCAGTTTCTGGTATTATTTATTATTATTATTATTTTTTTTTTTTTTTTTTTGTGGGTTCTTGGGTTGGTGAATATTGGTAGTGACATGGAAAGGAACTGATTAGTACAGTTGAAGCATGCAAAGCAAGATTAGGAAGACAACACTTTTGGATCTGAAGGGGAGCAATTTTTTTTTTTTTAAATTTGTTATGTGTTCTTTAGTGAACAACTGAAGATTCGGTAGTCAGACTAATAGTTTTGTCTCTCTGAAGCTTTATGCAGTGAGAAGGAGCTTTCTTTCCTTTCCTTTAATTTTTTTGTCATTTTCTCCATGAAAACAAGAAGAGAAAATTCATAACCTAATTTACAATATTAATATTTGAGAATATAAAATAACCCCACATGACAATGATACTGTAATGACCTCTGGTAACATTGATAAGGAAGATGATAATTATTAATTATGATGGTTTATATTTGATAATGATGTTTAGCATCTAAAATTTAACTATGAACTCACTGTTCATAGTCTTATAACAGCTAGATTGAAGGTGATTTTGGAAGAGGGTGACAGCTTTTGGGGCTGTAAAGCCAAACTTTACTGTTAAATCATGAGAATGAAGAGAGAGTTAATCAGTTTTGAAACAGTTTAAACCAAGTGTTTGGGTAATCAAATAATGCAAAAGAAAAGATAAACATGCGCAACCCAAATAGATTCCACAAATTTCGCCAAAACCCATTATTTGATATCAAATAATGGTGTCTAATTATACACCAAGATCATAATAATTGTCTATAATTACACAAACCCATATTCATTGATAAAGCTATATATATTCTCCTTGTCATATGGGGTGTGTTTGTGTGTACAACAATTGGGTTTCTTTTCTTTCTTTCATTTTCTAGGAAAATAATTTTAAAAAGGGCAAAAGAAAAGAAAATTGAATTGGGCATATACATGCCAAACTGTAAACAAAAGTGAAAAAAAGCTAAACCCCAGCCATCATTACACCAAAAAAAAAATAAAAAAAAATAAAAAAATAAAAAAGGGACATCTAATTGAGTCATTTTGTCCCCACATTCATACAACACCACATACAAATCAGAGGCTTTTTATTTTCCCAATTGAAAAACAATGTATTCAATCATAACCCACTTTAAACAAAGCCTCCAATTTGGACCCAACATAACTATTCACAAATTTCATTCACATTTTGCCCTATTATCATACCCTATTTTCAAAAAGAAAAAATAGTCCCATAGGAGGTCCATTTTGATTCAAATTGGTAACTTAAAAACAAAGGTGTTCCTATATAGTAAATAATGAGTTTGATCAAATCTTTTTATTTAGTGTATTTTTTGGGCACCATAAACTCTTGTAGGCTTGTTCCTATTTTCTTTTCTTAAAAGCTAAGATGGGTATGATTACTCTAATTTTGGGAATTAGGCCAAATAGGATAATTTAGTGGGTAATGCTCCACATGGTAGCTAGGTTCAAAAAAAAAAGAATGTAAATTAGACCTGAAGTAGAGTGAAGGAATCCCAAGAAAGAATTTAGAGTTTGGCATGTTACTAAAGCAAGACAAAAGCATAGAAGAATACAAGAGGATAATTACATGGCATACCTTCTTAGGGATTTACATATATTCCAACCATATCTTTGTTCTGTGATTATTTTAAATGCTACAAGAGGTGGAGCTGCATTATTCACTGACATACCTTGAAATTTACAAAGAAAACAAACAGAAAAAAAAAAAAAAAAAAAAAGGAAGAAGGATACCCTATTGTTTTATTTTAGAATTTGCATGAAAATCATCAGTAGAATTGGTTTTTCAAAGGTGAAGCGATAGGAAAAAGGAAAAGATGGTCTTTGCTTTTTCCCCTCTTTCTTTTTGATGTTAAAGTAGAAAGACCCATGAATTATGCTTGGAAAGGATGTTCATGAAAGAAAAGAGTTCATACAAGAAAGATCCAAAAAAAAATTTCCCTTTCTTTCTGGGAGGTTTCTTTTGAAGGATGGAGCCCAACCTGGTTGATTTCAGTGCTACAATTTCATGCCTTCTCTTTTCTTCACTTAAATCAGGCACCAAAGACTACAGCTAGGGCCATTTCTTGTGCTCATTCTGGGCAATGTTTTGTTGCTTTAAGCCCGTATATAATCTCCGAAAACGGGCTTGATTGGTCCAAGTAGAACCAGACCACTGGCCCATAAGTATTGAACCTAAATTTCATTTAAAAACTGTTTCTCTAATACTTAAAATAAAAGTCTCTTGATGTTGCTGAGTCTTTTTTACATCCATAATATTAGTTCTACAATCTTCTCTCACAATCCTTACAATCTCCAACATAACAGTTCGTTATTAATTAACTTTTAAATAAATAGATGAGACCTATACAAGCAAACAAAACTCATTTTGTAAATTGACTAATAACGAACTATCACATTAGAGATTGTAAAAAAAGATTACGAACATAATATTATCGATACACACCGCCTTCACATTCTACCAAATTATATTCACTACAAAATTGACCTGCGGTTCTCTCAGAAACAAATGTCGAAGCTGGATATTTACATGGCTCATTATTTACAAATTTCAAGTATGGCATTCAGGAAAATGGTCAAATCTTTAGGGATAAACTCGGACCAAATGTTCCTGAGGTTCAAATCTTGAAACTTCCGTTCCACCTGTCCCTGATAAATCACTATTTCTACGTTGAATTGCTTTAGCTACTTCGCTTATTTTCTCTGCAATTGATGGAAGCAGCTTAGCTGCTTCATCATATAGCTTAACTTCAGGTCCACTTGACCAATCTTCACTAGAAGCCATAGCTCCTAATTCCGAAAATAACTGGACGACACTGTCGGCTAAATTGTCCAGATTCAGTAAAGCTTTCTTGCATTCTGTTATTCTTTCTAGCACATCGTTTCTTTCAGGAATACGTTTCTTTTTCTCTGCTGCTTCTTCTAATTCATTAGCGGCCAACGAACTCTCCTCCACTGGGCATTTAGTTAATTCCTTGAGAGAACGATAGGGGCTCGGTAAGCTTTGAGTAAAGTTATTCAGGTCCTGCAAAGAGTATCCATATCCAAGACATTTCAGCAACGCGATTTTTTTCAGGTGGAGAATTACAAGAATATGGAATACGTTTTGACATTATTCGCTTTCAGATGTCTGCAGGAAAAGATCAGACTTCCGTAGCACGTAATTGATGTACACATAGGGAAGAAAATGGAAAACAGGGAGAAAGTTTACAATTTTAACAAATTTAAAAGTGCTTTTACATTTTTGGAAAATGATTTATTTTTTCGTTTTAGGATTCAAAAAAACCTGATTCGTAATCATTTGGAGACAATTGATAGACAAACCTGTTTGTTAGGACCTATCACAGGGAGTGCTGGATTCTCCAGTGTACAGTTGGAGGCAGATTCTTCTCCAGAGGTCAAAGTATTAGCACCTGAATCTCGGAGAGGTGTGTCAAAAAGTCCTTTGCAGCCCCCATCATAGTCCCGCCGTACAACATACTGTGCAGAGATTCTTTGTCTCACAGTTGATTTCCTTTTCTCTAACTGTAAGCATGCAAATTTAGTTCAAGACTCAACATAGTCTCATCATCAAAATATTCAGGTCAAGTGGCAAACCAACATGAGATTTGTTTCTTATGTATGCATGTGATATGACATTGGCAGAAATAGTGTGTTCATGACTGATGAAAGCCCAGAAAGTTATATTTAGTCTTGCGTGCAAGAAAGCTAACCTTGTTTGTCGTTGATAAACTGCCAAAATGCTGCTTGAATAGATCACTATGTTCATATTTTACTTGGCATGCATTAGCATCTATGTTTGATTGCACCTCAGGTTTATCTGAAGGCAACTGCTCTGCCACGTCGGCTATTAGCTCATCGCATGCACTTGCATTTTGCAGGTCAAATTGATCATTATTCTTGGCAAGAAAGCCAATATTATTGGGACACGGGTGTTTGTTTGTGGTGACACCTGGTACAAGAGAATCATGCCCATCACTCAGAACCCCAAATGACAACAATTTTATTTTTTATTTTCAAATATTATTGTTATTTTATCATCTATGCAACATGATACTGCATAAGAATCGTGAGAAGAACTGATGTAAACAGAAAGATTTGGCCTTACACAAATTTTGGGTTGGCAGTGACATCTTCACATCCTTCAAAATCTGCACCTCTGGGGAATTTGGAAAATCGAGGCATACGGTATAAACAGATCGCCAACGTGTGTCCCTAGCAAAACTGCTGAAGGTACATAATGACAAACCATGAGTGTGGAAAGTAATAATTGAACACTGTCCATATACCAAAATAAAAAACTAACAAGAAATAAAAAGTCACTGCCATATGGCCCATATCCAGTGGCAGCTAACCTAACAGTTCCTTGAGGCAAAGATGAACTTTGGCTGTCACTACCATCACGAGAACTTCTAGACAAGCTACTGAGGCATGAATTGCTATCTCCGCAACCATGATTAGCGGGAGTTTGAATTTCAGGGTGCACAGAAGAAGCATAATCACCAACCAAAGGCGAGAAATTTTTCGGTTCTACTTGCTGCTTGTGGTGGCAACAGATAGAAGAATCAAGCAAAAGAAAGTCAAAATCAAAGACATTCAGAACATTTAATTCAATATGTATATTGCTGGGCACTCAAAAACAAATTAACTAATATTATAAATCAAACTCTAGGAATTTATGTAATTTGTTTCAGAGGAATCAACAGCATTTGAAAATCATAAACTCAGATGGTTGTACGATTGTAGATTAATCTTTTAACATGTATCCTGGACCTTGAAAACAATACCCATTATGCCGAGCACCCTAAATTCAAGACATCACACAATAGATTTGATAAAGAATTATTACAAGTCACCCTTCATAGAGTGTCATGAGGAAGAAAAATGTGTCTTGTCTGTAATGGTGGCAGGGGATTTTATGTCAGTGTAGAGATGTTTTGATACAAGTATCTTCAATTTTCTGAGAAACCAGAATGCAAAAGTCCCATTTGAAGAGTGTACTATACGAAATACCTGAGATGAAAGGAATTCAAGATCGCAGGGGACAATTTCAGGGCTAGTTACTTTGGTTTGTGCCCACTTTGGAAGTCTGGAAATGCTAAATCTAAATGCTGGGGTAGCTCGGGGTTCCCAATTGTGATAGCGCACCCTTTGTCTACCTCCTTTGGAATTTTCTATCAATTGCTTGTGTTTACTATTTATTCCGCCTTTCTGGTTTTCCTCTTCACAAAACATGATTTGACTTAAAGCAACTGGCTGAGAGAAGTTTCTTGATGACAATACACCATAATTTTCTTTCACTCGCTGCAGCATCTTAGAAGCCAAACGAGCAGGTGCTCTCCATACAAAAATACAACCATCACCACCTACCTGCTTACATCAATTAAAGTTATAAGTGCATACACAATACGAACAATTATAAGTTATATGTTATTAGTCACATTAGAAATGCTTTATCATGAAGTAGGGTTAAAGACATTTCCTAGACATCATGCTATACTATAGAAACTCATCATAACAGGAACTCACAGAAACTATGTGCTTGCAATCAGGTAAGAAAATAACACCAGTTATGACTTCACCATGCCCCATGGCTTGTGTGACCATCTCTCCACTAATGAAGTCATACAAGCAGATAGATTTGTTAGAGTAGGAGCAAATCAGGTAACTGCCACTTGGGTCCAACGTAACCTGTAAACAAAATTGTCAGTTTGCTATACAACATGATGAGGTCACAATTTATGCTGATTGTTATTGTAGCTCACTTTTATTGGCTCTCCAAAGTCTTTATCTTGCTTGAGCGATCTAATAAGCTTTCCAGAAGCAATGTTGAATGAGTTTATCTTCTTGTCCTATAAGTAAATAAATGCATAGCAGCATTAGGAAATCAAATTCTTAGTACCCTCATTCTGAGAATCTGAGGATATCTGCTAACATATTATACGACCAGCTAGCCAATTATTTTTTGCATCTCAAGTAGGGGACCAATCTAACTAGTAGCACTAGAAGTCAATTGCGAAACCCTTCCAAAGCACCATTACGGAAACTTTTTGACACCTGAATAACTTTTAAGATGCGATTTACCTGCCCAACTGTAACAGCAATCTCCATTGCTGGATCTATAACCATGTCATATACAGTTCCAAGAGACGCCAATTGATGATGGCAACGTGAGATCTTATAAGCATTACCTATTGAAGCAACATCACGGAACACCAGGGACCTATGGAAAATACATAATAACGTTAACTACAGAGAGAGGCATTTGGATGTTACAAAGAAGTTAAATATGTTATTTTATTTTGATAAGCCTCCTATAACTAAAATATACAAGAAGATTAGAATTAGTTAAGAGGAATCTCCACGAAAGGAAGTGCAGAAAGTGTGATTTCAGCTGTATTTAAGAGAGCAATTGCTGGTTGATGGCATCAGGAAATCTGGAATCAGTTGGGACGCCGCTAGACCCTCGAAGTGCTAGCCACTCTTTTATCTTTTCTTTGCCATTTTTATTTTCTTTTGCTTGCAGTGTTTTGTCAATCCCAATCAATATAAATATATATTAGTTTGGTTACTAGTACAGAGCTGTGTCATTGAGTTTGCATTAACCATATTTCCTTGAGTTTGGGGTGGAATTCTGGTGTTCTCATCATATTCATATGGCTGACTGTAGCAACAAACCCAAATCAGATGGCATCATTGTTATCTTTATAGCTTAGGATCATTCTCACCAAACATAACAAAACAAAAAAAAAAAAAAATCCATTTGTCATTTGATTTCAAAAAAAGGCATTCAGATGCATGCAACAACATGGAGCCCCTTCGCATGCTATGAAAACAACATAATTTTTTAAAATACAGTCTTAGAAAATATAAATTGTTTTGAATTCATAGCACATGATTCTTTAGGTCCTTCATGCAATTAAAATCAAAACGCAACCAGCATACCTATCAGCACTACAACTCAAAATCTTACAGCCATCGCAGCTAAATTTGACAGAAGTCACAGCAGCAGAATGGTCATCAATAGTTTCAACAAGGTCAAAATTCCTGATAAGAAGTGAAGAAATAAGATACACATAATATAAGCTAAAAGAAGATGAAAAAGTTGAGAGGTAAACCTTTTAACATCATAAACATGGATTGTTCGATCCCTTCCCCCAGAAGCAAGAAAGTAATGGCTGTCCATACCATCTTCAGAACTAAAATCATTTTTGCTTAACAAGCTGAAGCTCAAAGTGAGGATCTCTCCATCATGGACATCCTGCACAGTAGCCCATATTACTGATGAACATGATTTGAACCCTGGCCATATGAAAGACTTAATTTTAATGCTTATAATTGCTTGTTTTCTCAAGCATTGACTTTAAATAAAATAAAGATATCTGGGTTGACCTTAAAACATGTATAATCAGAAGATGTTAGATCATAGATATGAAGGTTTCCCTCAGAATCACCAGCAGCCAGGTACTTTCCATCTGAACTAACTGCCATTGATCGGAATCCTTGGGTCCTGACACCTGTCTCCATTGTATCACGTTCAAAAAGCCCTGCACTTACTGCATTGAAAACAGAAAATTAATATTAACAGAATAGAAATGAAAGTTTGGTTATGATCTGAAAATAACCAATAATATAGAACATTTGACAGAAATTAAGCATGTCCACAAAATTGTATTGCTATATTTGCTAATTCATGTGTCAGGGCCTCAAAAAGTGATGGTTACCAAAATGTGCAGTGCCCACTGGTTCAATATTCGAAGAACCAGGACCAGTCACGTCCTCCAAAGAGTCAGGTTGCAAGGCAAGATCCCATAACCTAGTAGTACCATCAGCTGAGCATGTTGAAAAAGAAACTCCACCAGGACAACCCCTAGCTACACATGCGAGAGATGGATCATGCATGTTTTCACAACAGAGATTCTTGAGATCCCATATTGATGCAGAATGTGAAACAAGCACAAAGCATCTGGTAGCCTGGAAAAATTTTAAAATATTTTCTTGCATCAAATTGTGATATCTATATATAAGCTCGAAAAAAGAAGTAGAAGAAGAAGAAGAATGAGAATAAAGATTAAGTAATAACTAATACACATATTATTTAAAAAAGAAATAAACACTGCACTTATCAAAAAAGAAAACCAAAAGTGGAACAAATATTAGAAATATATGAAGCACTTACCTCATTCACATCATTAATGTCCCATATATATAAACTATGATCACCATAAACAACCACTGCAAAGCAGAAACATCGAGACAGTTTTAGAGTTTCAATAACAGAAAATTCCTGTTATCAAGAAAATTGAGGCAGTTACATGCTCACCAAGCTTTTCTGAGGTTGAGAACTGACAAGCAATTGCATCAGGAAGAGTAGGGACAAGTTGAAAATCAAATCCAGCGGCGTTTTCCACATTGCACTTTTTGGGCATTGAATAGTGTAGCGTTCCAGAATATTTGAGAGACTCAATAGTGAAAAGCTGCACAGCTCCATTACTGCAAGCACAAGCAATTAACTTGTTGGATGCAGATAGTCCAAAACCTTTTTCAACCTGTAAGAAAATTTTTGAGCATTGTGAAACAATTAAGAAATGGAATATCAAAAAATGATCCATAACAAAGATCTAGCAAAAAACAGTGCAGAACTGCAGAAAGGCATTATAAACATTATCATGACTTGACACATACTTCTTCAAAAATCAAATAACAATCCTAGGCTTGCCATATTTGCCTCACTGGAAGCTGCTTCTGTGAATGGTACTTATCTTTATCACATTACAATTTTTCAGAAATTGCCATATTTAAAAATTGATGGCATTGTAGCACCAAACTAAGCATACAATGACAAATTACATGTACCACAGCTAAACAAGTTAAAGACCTTACAATACTGATCAAACCTTCAGCATAGCTAGTTGGTTTTGTTGAAATATAATAATGTTTAAAACGGGATAACAAAGCCAAACATACCTTCAAATCCACTGATTTTGTTACTGATAACCCAGACTGTATAAGATATAAAACACCTGTAATCATAAGGAGCAGAATGGAACTCATTAATAACAGATACTTCAAAAACTTGAATGCACTCAATGTCTTGAATTTCTTAAAGTAAACTTTAACCTGCATCAGTCAGTGCATATATAGTAATCGTTTCAGTAGCCTGTTTATGATTAGCGACATTGTCGTCAGCCCCGGTGGGCGATGTGACAGATACAAATGAATTTCCTTTAGGAAGACCAAGATTAACAGGCTTTGCATGAATTGTTAGCAATTCTATTCCTTTGTTTAAACGAGTCCTTGCAGATGATCCAATTGTCCAGAACTTCAAATGTTTCTTTCCAGCAGTAACAATGAATTTTGCATCTGATGAGAAAGTCACAGATGTAATGGCAGAACAAGATGAATTTGCTTTAAGCTTGGTAACCAACACCGCATTCCTCCATTTCCAAAGGTAAATGTACCCTCCAACAGACACCAGATGTTCCCCTTCAAAAAATAGATTAATAAATAAAAAAATGAATGAATGATGAAGAGATGTATATAGCCAGTAAAATAAGGAAAGAAAAGCCAAGCGCATTTTTTATTGAATGATTGTGACTAACCATCTGGTGAAAAAGCAATGCACTCAACTCCATATAGATGACCTTTCAGCTCGGATATAAAAGTCAGATTCGCACATTCCCACACTAACATTGCAGGTTGAGGCCCTGACTGTAAAACCATATTAAAGCATATACATAGGCACTGAAAAGCACAAAAACAAGTCCAATATTCTTCCCAGTTTTTTAGCAAATACAATCGTAAAACCTTGAAAAGTGATATCGACCGATTTCTCTTTTCCTTTAAATAATGTTGTAATCCTAATGTACAGCAAATCTTCTCAAACTTTCAAATATAGAGTTTAAAAATAACAAGCACTCTACAGTTCACATATAGATCGTTAGAAACCACAATGATATCCTCGTAACATAAAATTGGATAAAGCATATGCAAATACATAGAGCGAATTTGATGTGTACCTCTGCAGCAGCTATAAAACGGCCGTCACGCGACATGGCAACACAGCTCAGAGGCTTTGGCATGCGATGAGACACCATCAGATGCGATTGAGTGCCGGCATCCACATCGTAAACCACCACAACACATCCTGCCACATAAGCGCACTTCGTAGTTGAAGTATTCGAAGCCAATCCATTGCAATTTTTCGTAGTCAATCCGATAATCTCTTCTAAAATCAGCTGATAATTTGAAAAACAAAATATAAATGAGTACCAAAAAAAGCATTTGGATGAACAAAAAACAAAAAACAAAATGGTGCGAATTTGAAGTTAGGGTTTTAAATTGGAGAACGTTGAAGTACCTTCGACGATGCGTCTGGTTTCTTGACTTTGCGATTAGGTTTCATTTTTGAATGAAATGAAAATTAAAAAGAAGAGATAAACAGAATTTACAGAAATAAGAGTGATTTTGGGAGTTTTACTGAAGTAGGCTACCGTTACTGTTAGCTGAGAGAGAGCGGGAAATCTGTGCAAATGAGAGCTTTAAAATGTGGGTTACGTAACTTTGAGACTCTGTGGGCCCACAGTTGTTTCATACTTTCATTTGTTACCTATCTGCAAAGTAACCTTATTGTCCATGAGATTTATCTTAATCACATTTTAGTCTTATAAAACTTTCTATTAATGTTTGATTTCCGTCATTAGCAAATCCGACTAGTGATTTTTTGGGTGGTGGTGTTTATAGGAGAAGTAAATTATAGAATAATTTAATTTATAAAATGATTTCAAAAGTAGGTTTTTATAGTTTTTAGGATTTAAAATTTACTTGATTTTGCATTAAATATATAGGATTATTCACAATAAACGCCCATAGGTTTGGCCTAATCGTGAGCACCTGTGAGTAGGGGTGTAGTCGAACTGAGTAGCTCATGAGCTACTTGGGCTCGACTCGTGACGAACTTAGATTTGACTTGCAAAAAGACGAGTAGTTCACGAGTTCGAGCTCCTCTTCAAGCTCGTGAAAGTTGTTGAGCTTTTCTGGGCTCCATTTGATCTTCTCGCAAGCTTGAAATTGCTCATGTTGTCATTTGAGCTCGTGAGCTCGATTGCGAATTTCAGCTTGCATAAATCGCAATTACTCTAAAATAGAGACAAACGACTACAAAATCCCTACCCTTCAAACTTATTTCACCTCTGCCATCATCGTCTTCACTTCTTCAGACCGCAAATCTGAGACGCTTGTCACGCCACCGTTGTTTAGCTATCGTCGTCCACCCTTCAATTTGAGACCTTCATTGAGCTTAGGTTCTTCACACCTCAAAGTCTGAGACACTACTGTTGTCCAACCTTCATCCACCCTTCATTCAGCTACTGTCGTCCAGCCTTCATTTGCCCTTCAATCGAAGCTGCTGCAAGGTAGAATCCGACGATGAAGATGCTGCAAACTCAGATTCTCAGGTGAGCTTCCATTTCTTAATCACTTTGTTAGTGATATTGTAAATTGATATGTCATAGGCTAGTTTTTTCAATTACAATCTGAGATTAGCAAACTCACATGTTGTCCGGAGTGGTAATCATATTTCTTCCCAACAAAGAATTTGATGGTGTCTCTACTCTTGACCATGTCCTTGTGTTGACTCTTATATCTGAAAAGCCTAGATCTGTGTGAGACATTATAAATTGATTTGTGTGAGGAAGCCTAATGTGCTAAATTACAGTTTTTTTGTTAATCTTTTTAATGATAAAAGGAATTCCAAAATAATAGGTACAAGATATGTGATTATCAATCTAAATGTGCTTCCTAGACCTAGACCTAGTCATTATATGTTTATTCTAAATTTGTCTACTAGGACGTCATTGTTAGCGTTGGCCAGGGCTTACTGGATCTAGTTATTCTGCTCGCCAATATTTTCGTGAACTAGCACCTCCTTAACAAACTCTTTTAGGTGGCCACTTTGGATCAGATCCTCAATGGCGTCCTTTAAAGTCTAGCACTCGTTGGTATTATGCCCAATGTCTCGATGGTATCGATAATACTTCTGTCAATCTCTTCTGCCTAGAACCCCCCTTATTCTTTTTAGAGCAAGCAATCTCTTAGCCTCACGGGAGACTTCATATGTATGAGCTATATCTTGAGTGAGTGAGGTGTATTATACCGCGGGAAGGGTTGCCTTTCCCCGTGATTTTCTACCTTCTGCCTTTTTTGGAACCTGTTCCGATCCTGGTCATTGGGGTCTTGGCTCCTTTGTTTATATGATGGGCAATCTTGTCACTTGTTCGAGGCTCTTCGCGACGAGCTTTTGGCTAGGGCTACCAATGAGCTTTCCACTCGCTAATGCTTGGCAGCCATTTGATAAAATTTTGCCAAGCTCAATGGTTTTCACTTTGGAGCTCTTTCCACGGCTTTGTTTGCAGCCTGATGCCCACGATTAGCAAAGTCTGGATTGACTCTTCAGGTGCATCCGTGACCTTTGCCTGCTCATTCTGGAACCTCGTTAAATACGAGGTCAAAGTTTTATCTCTCTCCTGACAAATGTTGCTCAAGTAATTGAGTGGCATTGCGAATTGTCTCCTTGCTTGGAATTGCTATAGGTATAGCGAGGATTAGGGGTGTGCAAAAAAAAAACCGTTAACCGAACCGAACCGATCTCGAATTTTTGGGTACTCAAAAATTCAGGTCGGTTTCGGGTATTTATTATATGATACCCAAATTTTCGGTTCGGGTATTTATTTTAAGAGAACCGGGTACCATTAAGCAATAAAAAACCTAGTTTTTAAACTTATTTTCCTTTAACTTTCAAAGAGGAAGAGGCAAAAGCGCCAAATCTTAAGTAATTAAGTTATTAAATTAAAAGTTGATTTAGTATATGGAAGGAATTGTATTCACAAATTGAAATTTGAAATGTAAAAAATTAAAATTCATGCAAAGTTATGCAAATTCAGGTCATAAACCGGTTATCCGATTTTTGACCTGAATATTCGGATACCCAAAAAATCAAGTACCCTTAAAAGTGGTTCAGTTTGTGGGTACCCTTTTAGGGGTACCCGAATATTCGGGTACCCGGTTTTGCACAGCCCTAGCGAGGATAATTGTTACCAAAAGCTTATTGAGTTTGCCTATAGCCTTTTGTACCACCTCTTGGCATCCCTCACTAATGTGATTGCGAAACAACAGTACATTGCCAAGTCACAAACCTAGTGCAACTCAATCAGGTCATTGAAAGTGTCGAGGTGGTCTCTGGGTCTCCTTTCCCATCGAACTTACTTTCTGGCATCTTGAATCCCTAGGGAAGCGAGACTTGGCGAACTTCTTCTGTGAAGGGAGAGCTCATTATCTCTTCTGCTGCATTGTTCTAGTAGGCTCTTAGATCGTTGAGCATTTTCTACACTCGATCTAAGTCTTCATTGTGAGGATTACCCTGGTTGGCTCTGTTCAGCCTTACCTCGAGCAAGTGATTTCGTAAATCTATTGCTTGTGAGCCCCCTCCATTATGCGCATTGATGCGCGAGGTTGAGTCATGATGGTTGAGCTGATAGGTGCTACATGCTCATCAGTGCGTTTCTCGCGACGTTGGTTATAACCGAAACGTTGGTCATTGCCAAATTGGCACACATGACTCGCCTCGCGAGCTCGTGAGGACTGGGCCTGCCTTGGGGTGGGTTAAAACCGCCACACTAACATTAAGGATATCGCTGAGTAGGTTGGGTATCCTTCTGGGGACCATTATCTTCGTCTTCTCCCATGGGCTACTTGCTCGGTTGCCTCCCGAGATTAGTTTGTCTATAGGACTCTCTTTCTTATGCAGAATGTTCCCAATGGTGTCTGGGTCGTCAATCGTGCCTTAGTGCCGACGAGCTAGATTGGTCGTCGACTGAGTTTCTCCTCGTTGGAATGACGTCAGTGGAGCACGATTGGTCAAAGTCCTAGGGGGCTGGTTGTTGATTTCTCAACTAGGCCACATTTTGTTGCACGACTTGTGCGACCATTGTTCTGATCATCTCCACCAATTGGCCATTCTTGGAATTTGACATCCCTGCCCCCAGTTGGTTTGTGGCCTGCTGTATCGACAACACTGGTGGTCGACGCCCGTCAACGTCTTGATGCACCTCTTGGTGGGTGGTCTTTGTTAGTGTATGCCCTAGGAACCAATCATGTCGTCGATTCCAAGACATTATGTTTTGTATATATATGTTAATGTATATATTGTGTATATACATTTTTATCTTATCATAGAATAAAGTGTTCTTATTTCACATGTGATTTATTGCTTCATTTATATATATGTATTATATGTGAAATATGCGGATGATACAAATCTTTAGAATATCAAAATGATCAAAGTATTTCATACATAGGTAATATTAATTGCGCAATAATATTATATAGTAGACATGTTGAATGCCTCTATAGAATATCATGTGATGGTATTAGTGTGGGTGATTATAAAAGTTATATCACTAGGGCATTAGCATGGATAAACGGTTAGTGAACTGTTTATCGAATATGATCGTTTATGATAAATCACATGGACATTTAAAATGTAGTCAATGATTCATCATAAGATCGTACTAGTGCATTATTAATCCTTAGACCTGAGATATCACGGTTGGATTCTGCATAAACACATATGGTTCATATGGTGTATAAACACAAGGCTAATCATGTCATGTGTTAATAAGTCAATTTGGCCATGTGTTGTTTATGTGTGAGGACAAGTGATAGTCAAGATGCGATCCGTTGACTTGATATAAATTGATATCAAATTCCTAGACAAATGTCAAGATACATTGGAAAAGGGAAATCTCTAGTCGGGGTATATAAATATTACCTGAAAGGTTGTTTCATGGTGACACATTTTATATGTATTGATTGTCAATTTGATATAAAATTAAGATAAGAATTTTGACATACCATGAATCCATTCTTAATTGGGATTATACAACAGAAAGATTTGATTATACAGCGCGTATGATTATAAAAGGGTTCGTTAGAGTATATCTTCATTGTGACTTAAGGGTTATGAAGCATTGCTAGATGCCTACCATAATCAGTGAGAGTTTTATTCATAAAGAGTTATGACAAAACATATCAAAATAGACTATGATATTGGGCCCACGGCTAGGCCACAGTGAACCTAAGAGGTCACACATAAAAACTAAGGAGAATGGAGAAATAGCCAAAGAGGGTTGATTATCCAAGGTTGGCTAGCACTTACCAAGGGTAATAACGTTATTTATATTATTATCATTGAATTACATTCAATGGAGGGTTATATTAGTTATTATAAATAATTTAAAATTTAAATTGTTCATAATTAATCATTTTCTTTATATTAAGTTGAATTTAACAATGTGTTGTAATTATAAGCATATGAACAATTTAAGGGTCAAATTGTTATGTAAACAATTGAAGAGTTAAATTGTTAATTGTGATTAAATGTTAATCCAATGTTTTTATTTAAAGAAGTTTAATAACTTCATAATAATTATGGAATTATTTA